GAGTACTTACAGTTAGACGACTTTATAGAGTAAGAAATAAGACAAGAGTAAATATATTGATAATTTGGTGTATTTAGGGGCTACTATACAATAAACACAAGCGAGTGCGATCAGCTTTTCTTTCTTTTCTATTTTTAGCCAACTTCTGATTTAGTGTCTTTCTTGATCTCTTTCAACACAGATTACAATTCATCAAACAAAGAAACTGTTTGCTCAACAAAAAGTTGTTAGTAAATTGTGATTCGTACCCTGATTGTAAAAAAAAAAATTATGCTTTCCCAAACTTTTAAGTATCTGAGAGTAAAGGTTACACTGGTAAAGAAACTTTCTTCTTCGGCTATTCTGAAGTTACTTCATAATAGCTAATATAAGAACATCATCTACGACGAATGCATACTTATCATTCCTACTGCCTGCAACCGACAACAGGTTCTCAACCTTATAAATTCATGTACGGCTGTGTGTGTTGAAGACATATCATGGCCACTATACGACTGCGTCCCACAATCACCCAACCCAAGCGTGCGTACCTTAGGTCGTGCGAGTCTTAGGTAAACTGTGGTCACTGTGTACGTTACTGATCTTCTGCGCTATTAATCGAACTACATGCATTTTGCTCTCTGCCACTCAACTGTCCGTTAAGAATCCTAAAGCGCAGAATGTATAGCTTTAACTCTATCTCAGCCCCAAATACTTCCTTAAGGGTATACTCTCATGTTTTCCTTCCATTCTCGACTTTTCTTTTCTGTGCTCTACCGTTCTTTCTGTCTGTAGACTCCGTGGTAAGAAGTTAGTAGTCTCTGTTAACGCTCCTTCGACAGAAGACACCTCTTCTACTGACTATAGGTATTGTATGTCTAATGAGTTGCATGTCCAATCCCTCCTTCCGTTTTCACTTTCAAATTGCCTTTTCCAAATTCGAAGTTTTATTCTATTATTATTATTATTATTATTATTATTATCATTATATTACTATTTTTTAACCCATGTCTATCCTTCTGTCTAATTCTCAGTAGAAGTTCCTAGTAGTTTCTTTATACCTATGAAATAAATATTTTGTCTCATTTCTGGACATGCTATTTTCCTAGTTTGCTTTCCAGGCTTTCCTCTAACGGCAAATTACAAGTAGCTCTTACCCTATACACGATCGAATTTTTATATTGTCTTGCATCTTTTCCGTTTCCAGTGTTTACTAGGGAGTATGCTTCAATTTTTTGTTATGATATGAAGACAATAAAGTCCTTGTACCTTTATAACCCTTTGGGCAAGTGGAATTATCCAGCATTTACTTCCCCGTTTTCGTTGATTCTCTTCAACTAATTCCACGTCACGGTCTGTTAAAGTGACGACTTGTTACACCATTTCTTTTTCTTTTTCTTTATTTTTGACACTTTTTTGTCACTATGGTATTCTTCAGTGTTCCTCCATAGTTCTTTTGATTTATCTCATTGTTGTGTTCTTATTTATCACTTCCTTAACTTGTGTTGTTCCTCTCTTTTCTGCGCGTTGTTTACCACTCATCTTTCCATAATGTGCTCTTGCTTTAGCCACATTAATTCTTTTGATTTTAACTTCTTTGTTTGCTTTCCACTGCCTGAGGTAAGGAAGCATTGGATTTAATCACGAAGCACCAACTATTCTCCCGTTTCCATTTTTGGACCATGCTTTACGACTTCCATCTTTCATAAGGCGGATTTTATGTTGTCTTATCTACAAAATGTGCAGCTTTTTGCACGACTTTCGGCGACCGTTATGACGATTGACAACTTATAACGTTTTTTTAGGAGACGCGTGCGTGGAAAGAGACGTCATCATCGGTACGCTGTTATTGATGAGGATGATGACAAACTGGAGAGTATGGAAATGCTTCCCAAAGGAGGTGATTGTAGTCTTTGTGCATACGTCAATTTCAGTGGCAATACTGTGTACTCCTTAATGGGTTTACTGTAATGCATGAATCAGCTAGCGAGCAAATGAAGGGAATCCTGCCACCCGAGCTGGCCAATGCCCGTATTTCCCGCGTTAGCCTCTCTTTTTGGCCTTGTATTTAATCCTTTATTCGGTGAAGGTGGCTGAATATTGGCCTCGTTCTTTTTGCATTTAATTAACTTCGACTCCGTCTTGGTCCATAAAAACACCGAAAAGAACATGGCTAATACCCAGTCATCTTGACTTCTCGGTTGGCCAGTAACGAATATTTATTGGGGCAACTAACCAAACTCATTAGCTGTACCATAGCCATCCTTAGTTAGCCGTTCAACATTCCTGGGCGTGAGGGGGCGATGCAAGGTAGCTCTTCTTGGAACTTGTCGCACAAAATTTGGGAAAAAGGAGAAATAACCGGATGTGACTTGTTTTATTCTTCAACTTAGATGCGCGAAAAGGTTTTGTTTATCTACGTTACGTTGGCTTGTCTTTTTGCGTGTTAACTATTTTTTTCGATCTTTCCAGTCAACACAAACTGACCAAATTTTTCATAAGTGCAGAGAGCGTAACAAGCCAAAACGCAACCAAAACCGTGCTCTTAGAATTGGTTCGAACATTTCTTCTGTTAACAGAGATATTCCATGCTATCTAGAAAACTAATATTGAACCAACGTTTAAACGCAATGTGATTGAATTCTTTGCAGGAAAATACTTGAGCACTAGTTTGATTCTAAGCGACACGGATGATGACAGCGATGATGAATCCACAGTATTTGAAGTTAAGAAAAGATCCATGAACGGCTCTGTAAATGGCTATATTAGGAAGGACACGTGATGTGACGTTCGATATGACGCAATATCGCGCGTGACTTCACGTGAATACACCAAGCAGCTGCAGGCCCACTCTTTTGTGCCTCACACGAGTATGTCACGTGACTCACGATAAGCTGCTTCGGTGGCAGAGTCCTAAAGAGGCCAATTGTTCGAGGGCAGAGTCTTCTTACGTCAAATTTACGTAAAATATAGTTGTTAAAATGAAGGGTCCAATTTTATACTTAGCTACAGTAGAGCCATAAGAATTGGTGGAATCATAAGTGATGTATTGACTAGACTCTTGCTATTTTATGACGTCAGTCAGTAATGAAGTGAGACAACTTCGAAAATGTCTACATTTTTAATTATACTTGGCCATTGATAGTACGTTAGGGTTGTTCGTGTATGCATTTTCTTCAGCGGCGGTCATGTGGAATACTTTAGGAGCTGTGGACTATCGCGAGGACTGGGATCAAGTGGTCTTTTGTGCTACAGTTGAGGGCCTTGATTATAACAAGAAATTTTAATGTAATAATGACGCACCATTGACCAAGACTTGAAACACAAAAGATTTACGTTGACGGAAACTATCACCGCTAGTCAAGGGTGCTTCACATTATGACTGAACAAAATGAATTACTGTCTCTTGCGAAAGATGTGAAGAATCTTTTCACGATACCGCGAACAATGTGAGAAGTGCAACTACGAAAAATTTGTATGTTTTTACTGGAAGTTTCGAGAAAACCTCTTTTGCAGAATACTACAAATGGGGTTCAATTCCCTCAATGAATTAAACAAATACAATTTTCATATAAATTATTTATAATTTCCTTTGGGTTTTGCCAGGGAAATTGGTAAGCTGATTGTGCAGTTAGCTTATTTTCAGTAAACAGTAACGTAATGTTATTTGAGAAATAGGCCAAGCAAAGATATTAAATGGAGATTTTTATAATAGTTTCTTTTCTTATTCCCTTTCTCATTCTTTGTTTTTTCATCTTCTTTTTAGAACTGCTACCTAAAATGTTTTTACTGTCCTCGTTCCCATGGCCTCTATCCTTTCTTTGGTCTTGTCTCGTACCAAATCTCTAGCGCGCGACTGATTGCGCGCCATTCCTAATCTTGGGATTCCCATGGTACCTGGTTTTGCTTTACCAATCAGGGGTGACCTTTTCAGGAAACGTCTGCGTTGTCGGCGCCATTTACAGTTACGTCATAATGGAGTTTTGTGGACATCTTTATCTCTTTACAACCAATAGTCTTTCATCGATCTACCTCTCATTTTTATTCACTATACTCGAAACTGAGAAGACAAAAAGTATGAAGCCGTATTATTTTTCCTGACCTTTATCCTACTTGGAATACCATGCTTGACGGTTAAGCTAAGAAAACTCGAACCCTATCACTAATCGATGATTTTGAAATACTTTTTAGGTCAAAGGATGGCAGGAAGGTAAGTCTCGGCAATTCGCCTGCCTTTGTTTCCCTGTTGAGGAGATTACTTCGGGTCCCGGCGCCACAAAGAGAATCATTTTTTTCACTATTTTTACCTCATTGGCATACCGTTTTTATTCGATTAAACGCCGCGGCGTTTACTAAATTTTCAGCGTTTCTGATGCGGCGTTTATATAAGGGCGGCGTTTGTTTGGAAATTACTTTTCTTAAATCACTGACAACAGTTACTGTAAATCGTTTTTTAAGTATTATGTACTTTAAAGGTTCCAATGTCTTTGTTATTTTACTGAGCTAGAATCGTAATTGTCTGGATGGTGTAGATTATTAAGTTGTACCCAGTTTTTTCTCATTATCCTCGAATAACCGCCACATTATTTTAATTAAGTGCGGCTTTCATTTGAGGGTAGCGTTTAATCAATTAAATACGGTACGCCTGACATTGTCTAAATTAATGTAAATATTGATAATAGATGGATGGATCAAAGCAAACTTGGCCACCTAAATTGAACAAGATTAAGTGTATACTTTGGAATATTTTTTTAGACCCTTTTAAGTCGACATTCTGCTGTTTTTGATGGCCAATCTTACTCAAATATTAGTTACAATTAAACAGCTTAAAATTGCCTAGATTGCTCTGGTTATCCAGCTCTCAATTTTTATAATTCTGAAGTCAATTCACGTTCATATGTAACGCGGCCCGAAACAGGTGCTTGAGTAAAATAATTATTCGTTTTGCCTTTCGGCTTTCTCTCTGGCTTTTACATGACAACCGGTATCCAAGGGTGAATTTGTCTGGTGAAGGTGTTTGAGCCACTCACAAAGAAACGAAATTACTGTTCCTCAGTAAATAATGTTGCTGCCGAAAATCGTTTAAACTTGTTTCGTTTCCTTCTTGTGTTAGATGAAGGACTATTTTAACCGACTTCTTCAATTCTCTAATGCGAAATGTGGTTAAAAACGGATTCGCAGCTGAATTAAGAAAAAGAAACACGACACTTGATTCTAAGAGCAGTGAAAACCAGTTCTGTTCACCACAACTCGCGCAGTGAGATGCAATAATAATTGCTGCAAAATATGGAGCAAGGGAAACAACCAGACATGCTAGAATTAGAAATGAAGTTGTTGCGAACTTTCTCTCCATTTGTGCTCTTCTTACTCGTCGCATATCTTGAAGTGTTAAGTTGCTGGGCATTGCGAATGCCGTTTGTCTTTGAAGACCAATCCGAGATGATTGCTTCCTCAAAACAAAAAATATTCCCAAATAACATAAAGTGCTGGTAGAAAGAGGAAAAACGGCGTTCAAATATTGGTCTACGTTTTTGTAAACTTGAACTGAAATGCCAGGATGAAGCTGGAGTAGGGCAAAAACTATTGAGAAGATGATCACTGCCAAGTTCAAATAGACGAGCTTCCGCGGGCTGGTTTTGCGGAGATAAAAGTGAGGAAAAACAACCGCTGTAAAACGATCGACGGACATCGCGGTCACTAGGAGAATCGAACTGTTGATTGCAGCGTATTCGACTATCAGAAAAATGTCCCCTTCTTTAGGAAGGCTGTAGTCTCCGAAAGTGCACAGATATCTGATTGTTGTTCCTCCAATACATATTACAGTGCCGATGAAGAAATCCACTCCAGAAATAAACCCCAAAAACACGGAAAACGTTTTTCGGAAGCAGCGGAGAGGGTTTCGGTAAAGGGCATACAAAATGATGCCATTTGGAACTGCAATGAGGAATGAAAGAAGCATCAAGGAAACTCCAGTAGCGAGGCAAACTTCTTTCTCAAAATTGCTTTCCATTGTAAACCTGTATCACAGCGTACTTGTGGCCGACTTTTTATATCGTCCTTCCCAAACAAACCCTTGTTAACCGATGAATTCAATTGCTCTTCCACTTAGCTCGACCGATATCAAACAAAAATTGGACTAAGAATCGACTAAACATCTCTGGGTTGTACTGAATTATGGGTGTCTTGTTTTATATTTTATATCTATAACTTTGACGTTCATCCTGTTTTAAACAAACAAGAAAGCAAGCAGCTTCCTTTTCATGAGCAAATATATTTGTAGTTTGATTAATGTACATCGTTCATTTACGTTCCTAACATCCGTTGCCACTCATACTATATATTACTCCCAACACTCGATTAATTTTAAAAGGTTAATGTTTGGCAATAGGTGGCAATTACAATGGCCTTCCGAATGCTGGGCATAAATCAGTTTTTAGGAGATGACAGGCCTTGAATTCTTTATTTATAAAGGATTTTAAGCTTATCTGTCGAAAAAGAAAACACCTCTGTCAGGTCATAAGAGGTTTGACCAATCACCAAACCACGCAAAGAGATGTGTGATCACCCATAAGTTACGTATAGTAGCCATACAATCCTTGTTTCAACATGGGCTCTGAAAAGGTCTCTTCTACGAAACTCAGTCAATTTTACTGGTACGCAAGTGGTCAGAGGTGCTATAAATCGAGAGAGGACAAGTTAACATGGTTTTGGTGAACTTCACCGAGACCTTCCACAAAACGCTTATTACCTTGGAATCTGCAGTAACTTTAAAAATTTGAATTAAAACTTTCCTTCCTCGCCGATCGTCGCCAATATTATGTCGTTAATGGTTCGTAACCAAGCTGGTCACTCGTCACGTCTGGCGTACCACAGGGAGCTTTGTTGGTCCCCTGACATTTTTCGTTTACATGAACGACCCACCCGACTATGACTTTACATCACACTGTTCGATGATGACGCTGTTATCTACATGAAAATCCAAACATCTGAAGATCATCATACCCTTTCAGAATGACCTTCAACTCCTCGAGGCGAGGACCTTTCGATGGCAGATGAGATTGGCACACCAAGAAAGTGCCACATTTTACGTATAACGCACATATACGTGACTGATTTTAGGTATATCATTAAATCAATTGCGTATAATGAAGCGAAATGAGAATTATCTTGAATTCCATGTGATTCAGCTTTCGTAAGCCATTATTCCCACATACTTCTCTATCCTTTTTCAAGCTCATATATATTTATGAGAAAAACAATTAAAGCAGTTGTGTAATTAATCCCTATAACTTATTGTTTTGTATTATAGTATGCTAAACTGTAAAGTGAGCATCTCCATACCGCTAGCCGCATTTCGCAACGCCATCGCTTGTTTCCCCAGACAGCCCAACCCCCCTCCCCTCCCCCCCCCCCCCCCCC